CACACACACACACACACACACACACACACACACACACACACACACACAAAAGCTAAGTATGAGGCATGATTTTTTTTTTCTGCTTTAGTGCGCAAGGTTAGCAAACGAGTCTTGGGAATACCAACCAGTTCCAATTGGAAATCCAGGCTTTGACCCAGGGCCACCTTTACCTCCTGGAAGACCAGCTCCTTGATTACCAAACCCCCCGTAGCCTGAAACATTATAACATGACATATCATTGACAACTGGCTGATGTCATTATTATGGCAAATCTTTGTACCAATAAAATATGAGCATTTGTACCAAAGGGAAGTTTTCCGCCTCCGGGCTTTGCTCCGAAGCCACCTGAGGACAAATGTATAATCATTGACGAGAGATACAGGATACATTGGATACTGGAACATTGGAGGAAGAATAACAAGTGTACAACAAATCATCTCATTCTTATTGGTTGCAATTGTTTGCCTCAAGCGTTACAGGAGATATTTCCTGGACAAGAAGAGGGTGGAGAGATGCCAGTACATAACATTGTAACAGGCAGTAACTTAAATACTATTGATCAATCAAAGCAACGCAGCTGTCTATATAAAAGTGTAGTCCATTATGAAACAAACCTCATACAGTACTGCATCAATAGGAAGGAGTGACCCCTAAAAATTATATTCACACCTTGAGTTTTGGGTGATTTCAGAGGGTATCCACGGAACACTCCGGGCTGCATCTGCCCTCCGTAGCCTGAATAAAGTATACATTTGAAATGTATTTGAAAGATATAGACGTACTGTCCATGAATGTGAAATGCATAAATAACTGACCTGCTCCCAGCACACCCTGTCCGCCTGCTCCAACTATAGAAGAAACATCAAATCATCCAGTCAGATGTATTGATTGTGGAAAATAATTGATTTTAAATGAAAGTACTACTTTCGCAATTCTGCCAAGCAGCCAAAAGGCCACATTAATGTGTGACAGGATAAGACCAAGAAAAGAATCAGCAATTCTGTTGATGTGCCTGCTCGGGAAACATACAACTGTACTGTATAGTCCTGTAGTTGATAAACAAGTGTAGCTATCATGATTTCTGTCCACCCTAGGAGAGAGGTCCATATTCTTCCTGTTGTGCAGTCTTGAAGAACAAGAAAATACTCACATGATTTTTGACTGAGGCCATTGCCAGTGGCAACTCCTGGAAGAATTCCGCGGTTACCAAATCCTGAAGGTACCAATCAGAAAGCAGTTGCATTAGATTGCAGGACAGTGCCTTTATCTGCCAATAATTAATCAATGAAAGTGACATACCATTCGCTGGTACCAATCCACCTTGATAAAGCCCAGGTACACCCACACCTGCCAGAACCAATGGTACAATGTTAACGCATCTGAAAACACCGCACAAATCTGTCTGATTGAATAGGTGATCAAATTCCTCAATATTCGGAATTATTGAAGACTGTCTACTTTTATTCTTTCTTTGAGGGGAAATCCAAAGAAATCAAGGGTCAAACAACCGCATGGAATAGTCTTCAGTTTTGATTGTCCACTGTTACGTGCACTGGTGTGAACAGAAGGCCGACAGTGAATCACCATTTTGACAAACTACAACACTTACAAGAGAAGACCAATTGGCCGTGATTTTATGTGCATGCATGCCAAAAAACTGGTGTGTTGAATTTACTCCATTTTATTTTGTCAAGTGGTTGCACACAATCGAGTCATCTGGATTCAGATCCATTTTTGAAGTAAATGTATAGTCTACTTCAAAAATGCATCCGGTTCCATGTGATAGACTACCGAGAAATAATATCCGGTCTGCCCATGAGCATGACGAGTAGATTATGATTTGATTATACTGTACAATACCTGGTACTTTGGAAGCTGTTTTTCCTGATCCAGCACCACCCCCTCCTGGCAAGCCTGTCTGGGGGATAACAGGGCCTGGAAATAAGGACACAATGTCACAGGAGGTGAGGAAGAAAACACTCATGGAACCAAAGGCAACAATATCTAAAGTTGTGTGTCTTGCCTCCAGCAGGAAGAGTTCCAGTTCCCGTTCCTGCTCCTGCAGTATCATAAAATGTAGTCAAGTCAGTCGTGTCGTTTATTACAAAAACTGCATTTCTATCTGCCAAATGTCAAGTCAAACAACTTCATGATCAAAAGTGACATGGCTGACTTTTAATATAATTACGGGAGGCAGCAACTACAGATGTCATTAGCTGTGCTCATCAAATGCCTCATTTCATTGGCGAACCGCTCATGTAAGAAATGAGCTGTCAGCCTCACAAGTAGGGGAGTTTGGCCGCAGCAAAGACACAAGCGTTTATTTGTTCAACTCCTATTTTCATTTTTAAATTCTGAAATTCCACATACTTTGCCTGAATAGACATTGCGCACTACCTGCAGGTATGTGGCCTCTGGAGATTTGTTGAAGAAAGTTTTGGCAAAAGAATACTATTTTATCTTTGCTCTTTCAGGGGAATGAGATGTTATTCTGAGTATTGCGGAAAAAAAAAAAGCCCAGACTTATTCGAGGGAAGGGTTTTTTTTTTTCTTCCTGCCAACCAATATTTAGGAGTAAGCTGTTTGCCAAAGCCCTCGTCATGAGTGGACCCAGGAGTCTATGCCTCATCAAGCTGCCTAATTTAAAGTAAATCATACGGACATAAACAGCACAGACAGTGAGGTCACTGTAGGCTCTGCGGGAGTATGTTTCTGTCCAAAACATTATTTTTCATGCTGATTTACTATTAATGTGATACATTTATTTTGGCTTTCTGTTGTTAATAGATAAGAATGCAGACCATTAAAATAATTGTGTCAGTGTGTGCATAGTAATTCATCAGTGTACCAGCTGACATTTTACCTCCAAATGGGAGCAGATGGCCGCCGGCACCTGTGATGGGAGAAATATCTGTTAAAATGTAACAAACAATATATGCTGCATCTTTTTTATCCTCATCAGAAATTTGGGTTGAATGAAGAACAATCTCCAAAATAAACAAAGCTACATTGTTGACATCCCAAATAAGTAGGCAAGCGCTCATTCAAAGTACTACTTCAAAACCACGTGAACACATGATTACTAGTCAGCAAAGTTAAGGTACTAGTCTATTGTTTTTACAGACTTTCATTTGGAACGACAGCAAGACCTCATATTCCGTTGGTTCCTTACTACATTTACTTATATTTGATCATTTTGGCAAACATTTGGGATTCAGCTCGATCACTTTTACGGGAGTTAAGGTAGTGATTCTGGCAGCTCTGAGATTGAGATGAGAGGAAAAATACAGCCCAATCGTGTGCGCTGTAACTTCTCCCACGAGGCTGAGCTAATCAATTACTTAACCAGAGCAGCTTTGCAACTGGAGCAATTAGGTGTGTGCTGAGGCATGCAAATGGTGAGGAGAGAAGTCCGAGAATGACGATGCAAGTTAAACAGATAATGTAGTGCTTTCGATCAAGAAAAAGTGTGAACCTACCTATTATTCACTGTTTTATTATTTAGATTAGCGATAGTTTAGATTTTCTGGCACTTTGGGATAGTTTGTTAAAAAACACATTTAAATCGATAAAATTATGGTAGGATACCATAGAATTGTACTTATAGTATTTTAAAACACATTAATTTTACATAAACTATTGTTGGAATACTATAGAATTGCATCTTCAGTCAAATTAGCAGACAGTATCAGCCAGTTATGCTGCAATACATGCTCATACTGTCTGCCAGTTCCGCACTAAGATTCTAAAATGTTGTGACCTGCTCTCCTTTTTATTGAGGACCTCAATTTTAGGCCTGTACCTCTTTTACCAGCCTTCTGTCCAGCTCCTGGGAAGATTCCACCAGGGACTCCACCATATCCTCCATAACCACCTTGTGAGAAGAAAAAATATTCGCTGGTTAAATTTTGTCTGAAACCGAACAACAGCTATAAACGGTTGGTTTCACATTGGCGCTTGTTACTGAGAAAATAGACAACTTCCGAAGACACTGTCGGACTCACCGCCGCCGAGGTCTCCGGTTCCATAACTGCCACCGGCTCCTAGATTGCCGTAACCTAAAAAGAGATATATCTGAGTTTGAAAAAAAAGCAGCAGATAAACAACCACAACATAACAGAACATGAGCATAACAATTTTATCTTAAAGTCTAATAATATCCTCATGACGCTGTCTTATTGCTTCCCCATTTAGAAGACTCTAGGACTACTTTTGCGGAAACCAGCTAGGACACCTCTCGCATTGCTCTTCATATCTTAAACTAAGTAATCGGAGGCACACACAGGCAAGTTTGTTCATTTTTATCACAAACATGCATCAATCAACGTAGCTTCCAATTATTTGAACTCGAGCCTATCGTCGAATCCAGGAGAGAACATTTGTTGTTGTTGCTCAACAGACATAGAACACGCTGAAAGCAGATGAAGACCTTATGTGGGATTCTAAACACTTTCTAGCATCGAGACACTTAAAACTCATTCAGTACCAGCCAATTCTGGACCAAGTCTGAAAAGACGTTTAAAAACGTCTTTGGGAGTGAATGAGTTAAACTTTTTACTGAACTTGTTGCATAAAGAGTCCAATAACAGCTTTGGCCTGTTCTTATTGGGAAGAATAAGTCAAATATGTGGATACATGGAAACAACTAGTCACTATCATTTGTAGAGTACAGTTTTGGAAGAATACCATAACCATGCAGCTATTATATTTAAACAAGCTGAGCTGAGACCAGCATGCTGGAACTATGAATGTTTTTGGAACAAGCCACAACACTGTCACACACACTAACACTTGAAAAGGGTGAGACTCGGGTATGAGGCCAAGCGAACAAGGGAAGCGAGTCGAATAAGGCAGCGAGACAGACAGGATGAGACCTTGGAAAGCACCCAGTCATGCTCAGAGTGAAGGTAATAACATCGATAAGTGATGATGACGAGGAATGTGTGAGGAAAGCAGCAGTGCTCGATGAACGCTGCCAAAGGCTTGACAAACACACAAGGCATGCAACGCGAGCCTCTGCGCTGAGCTAAGAGTTCCTCAGTAATCTCCTTCTTAGACATGAAGTGTACATGCAGGCACACCTCAAAGTTAGCTTCACATCCAACTTTGACTCGTCAGACTTTTAGAAGCTGAAAAAAGGACAATTTAGTCGAATAACTTTGACAGTGACGACGTGCGACCTGAGGTTCAGTTGTAACTTTGCATCATGGGTTGCAGAATAGTACACCACCAAAGGGCGGTGTTTTGATTTTCCTTTCAAATATGTATGTTTGACTGCACTTAATACAGTGCCCTGATTTACATTTTCTCCACTGTCCGATGGGACATGGGCAGGGGGCACAAATAATATTGCAAAAAGTACTCTTGACAACAGTTAGCTGTGTATCTGGACTCATGAAAATGATAAAATTAGATACTTAAGAGTCGGAAAAAACAAAACTCCCGCATTACACTCATTCACCGCCCTCACGTCATAATATAAATGCAATATTACTGCCAGCAATGTGTATTGTGGATGATTTCAAGTTGTTGAGCGTTAAGGTTTGGTGCCTCCAGTACCGCATCATACAAAGACTTTAGTAGCCATTCCATTTGTACAACGTTCCACAAACCAAGGTCGTAGTAATGGCGAGAGTGTTTAGCAGATTCATTCGAAAATGGCTGAGGCTCCCCCAAATCTTCAGTTCTGTCCAACTCTGTCGCAAGTCTTCAAAGCTCCATTTAACCATTTTCCTTTGTTGGAAACAAATTCAAGGCCAGCAAGGCAAAGGCCACATGCACGCTGCTACCATCTAAGGATGAGACAGTACAGCACACCAGTAATGCCGTCAAGTGTGGCAGAAAATAGAAAAACACAGAGCAGTGAGGAAAGCGGAAGCTAATTGGCAGTCCCAGGAAAGTGTCGGCACCATCTGCCAAGGGCACCAAGGCCTTGAAAATTATCCTTAACAAGAGTTGGCCCAAGGCCAATGCCAGAGGAAGAAGATCAACTTGGGATGCAAACGGTCTGGGGGACAACAGATGAGAACCATTGTACAAAGTATTAAAGCGGAGTGTCTAGCGCCCAATGCCCGCCGGATGCTGTGGGATGAGGCACTCGAGGGGTTGCAGTTTTGTGGAAGGAGCTCTGGAGTACTGACCAACTTCACCTACTCGAAAATATTTGAAATTTTGGTAAAAGGAAAAGGGTTTCTCCTGCAGCCACTGTGGAGCTAGTCTCTGCTCCCTGAACCACATGTTAGCTGCATGTCAAAGTCCTCATAGTGTCTGCAGAGCCAATGCTAACAAACATCGGGAATCATCACCTAGATTCAGAATCTTCCAAATAGGGGCCAACACACATCTGACTGAGAGGTGTGCATGGCCTTCAAAAAAATCTGGTCTTTCCGCAGGAGGTCACGGCAACTGCGTTCCTGCAGGACATGATCCTTTTCTCAAGGAGTTAAAAATCATTGTCACCATTGAATTTACTGTATACTGAGAGGACAGACAAGCAATCACCCACCAGTTCAATCAGGTGAAAAACCAGGATCTGATTGATGAGTCTGGCATCAAAGAATTGCAAGCAGCCTAGCTTGGAATAGAGGTTGGCTGTTGAGGCATCCCGGCAACATCGATGCACGATTTCTTGCAAGAGACCAGGATGGATTCAAAACATCTAAGAAAGACCACTGAGGAGATAGCACCAGCACCTGAGACCAGCTCCAGGTGAGTGTCACTGTCACTGTCAATTAGGCTTTTACAGCGTTCCATCACCAAATAGATGAACATTTACATTCTGCCGCGAAGTAAATATTAGATTATAGTGTACTGAATTACCATTACAATCTTGTTTTGTCCATGGTGGCCTGAAACAAGGCTGCCGTAGCTTTACAACTGAGTTATGGCAAAGAGGGATAAAACAGGGGTGTTGTTTTTCATGTCGCAGAAAGCAAATCATTATGCGGAGCACTTGTTTTCACATGTGCAAGCGTTAGCCTGTCTCCAGCGATGGCGCTCAGGGTCAGCCCGCACCTGCATCGGAGACTTCCCTCTGGTTTGAGATGAGATGCAGACACAAAGAAGTGAGTCCAAGTTGATGTGACTGACCATGAGTCCAGACTGTCAGCATGAACCAGTTTCAGACAATGTTCTGACTTTACTTGACAGTGAGAAAATACAGTAAGCCAAAATGAAACACTACATGTCCCCTCAGAAACTGCATGTGAATGCTAAGGAATGACCAGATTACATCAATAATATCCTCTCTCTCAGCTGCGAGCATCATGGGGGATGCTACATTTGTTAACCTGGATGCAATTCATCTTAAGGGTCACAGAGGACACTGCTGTCATGTGGAAAAAAAAAAGGTGTTTGAATGCCTAACATGTATGAAATGCTTTATAGTGTATTTGTTGTATGAAAGCATTTGGATTTGAACAAGAGCTCTCTGTTCAGTCATATTTACATGTTGGCAGCCATATTTTCGTTGGACACATATTATGGCAGGACTTCAACTCAGACAAATAAATAGGGCCCTCATAACTTACAGATTATACTGTACGTCACTTTGGATTGTTGTCAATGAACACCCATCAGAAATGACACACAATAGCCCTGATATCAAATCAAATCGGCGATTTCCTGTGGTGCTTTTCCCGGGATGTATTTACTTTCTGACAAGTTGAAGGATTTCTGCATAACTGCTGTAAATTGTAGATACATTTCGATGTGCTCTTGCAAATCAGGAATCCCATGTGACTACCTCTGTAACGCCGCTGTATTTGAGAAAAAATGACAGAACATCTCAACATAAGTTCCGATCCAAGATGGAAGGGCTGGACATTCAATACTACACCAGGGAGTGAACAGGGAGACAGAGAAATGCGAAGTGAAAACATGCATCGTGTTTTGGCTGCTTATTTATGCAAAAACTACATTTTGGACACAAACAACAAACCAGTGGAGACAAATGGCTTCCAGTGCTAGAATCAATTTCTAATCCAATCTCTTTACGGGTTATATGTAAAGTAGATCATTAATAATACACTTTTGATTAAGATTATGATAATACTGGTGTCCAGAGGGGAAGATTTCCGGGTTTTTCCAGAGCCTACAAGGTAGACACACGTTACCGAGTCACAAAAGTCGAAAAGTGCCTTTACGAGTACCATGGCTGGGATAAGCCATTGTTCCACCTTAAAAGTTACAATGAAGTATTTGAGATGAAGACATGTAAGACGAAAATGTAAATCTTTGTCAGGGATATGAGACTAACACTGGCCAGACAATGTGGCTGAGAGTCTCAGTCACTGGTCATGTTCTCAGCCCAAGTGATGGATATGAGCCAGTGTGAACAGAAATATCTGGCTTCAATCTCACCCCTCAAACACCTCGCTCATTCTCCATTGGGGCTTGGTCAGACAATCTCGTTTGAGAACCGAGGGATACAAAAGTCATTAATCAAAAGACTGTCTTCGCTTCTCACTTTCCCCCCCTTCACTTGTTCTTTGCTTTTCTCCATTCTTTTTCATGCCCCCTCCCCTCCACCACTTCCGACAAGCTTACGCAGCGCAGACACAAGGCGTTAATTAATAGGAGGGAGCCAAACATGAGTGACGGATGAATTCATTCACTGCTTCTCATCTCTTCCGTTCACCACTTCTTGCTTCCCTACTTTGGGCTTTCATTCAAAACCACTGAAGGTAGCGGAGCGGAGGACAGATCCCTGAAGTGTCTCCTAGATATTTTAGCTACATTTTCTTTGTTTTTTTTTCCTGTTAGCTTACCGTTAGCTTACACAAATGCAGCTGGAGACCATTTCAACTCATGCCCCTTTCATTCTGTCCGGTGTTAAAGCACAAATGTGAGAAGAATGACATATACTGTATCTTGCTAACCATGACATCATTCACACCAAAAGGTGCACAGAATGCAGAGCCGTGCTTTGGCAATGCAGAGTGCTGCCTTTTCTGAAATGTGATGGAAAATCCTCTCACTAACTTCAGCTTCAAAGAATTGGCCAATTTTCCTTTGATTGACAAGTGGGTTCGATTCTTCGGCTATGGTCCCAAATACA